TGTGGTAGGTAAGTTTGAGGTGCCAGGTGTAAATGATAATGGGAGCCCTTTGATTGAACTTTGTATAGAAAGGGGTTTAGTTATAGGTAATACATATTTTAAGAAAAAGAGGATAAATAAGTATACAAGATATGATGTGGGGCGAAATGACAGTAGTTTGTTGGATTATGTATTGGTAGATAAAAGACTGTTGAGTAGACTTCAGGATGTACATGTTTATAGAGGGGCCACAGATATATCAGATCACTTTCTAGTTGTAGCTACACTGAGAGTAAAAGGTAGATGGGATACAAGGAGAATAGAAGCATCAGGGAAGAGAGAGGTGAAGGTTTATAAACTAAAAGAGGAGGCAGTTAGGGTAAGATATAAACAGCTATTGGTTTGGAAGTTAGGAGGAGGTGTGGGATTACCAAAACTGTTGTCCAGAGGGCAGAGGAAAGGTTGTTGAGGTGGTTCGGACATGTAGAGAGAATGGAGCGAAACAGAGCGACTTCAAGAGTGTATCAGTCTGTAGTGGAAGGAAGGCGGGGTAGGGGTTGGCCTAGGAAAGGTTGGAGGGAGGGGGTAAAGGAGGTTTTGTGTGCGAGGGGCTTGGACTTCCAGCAGGCATGCGTGAGCATGTTTGATAGGAGTGAATGGAGACAAATGGTTTTTAATACTTGACGTGCTGTTGGAGTGTGAGCAAAGTAACATTTATGAAGGGGTTCAGGGAAACCGGCAGGCCGGACTTGAGTCCTGGAGATGGGAAGTACAGTGCCTGCACTCTGAAGGAGGGGTGTTAATGTTGCAGTTTAAAAACTGTAGTGTAAAGCACCCTTCCGGCAAGACAGTGATGAAGTAAATGATGGTGAAAGTTTTTCTTTTTCGGGCCACCCTGCCTTTGTGGGAATCGGCCAGTGTGTTAATAAAAAAAAAACACGCTAGATAACAGGGATATCTTGCTACTCCTACTTACAGTTTGGTCACACTTCACAGACACACACATGCATATATACATACATCTAGGTTTTTTCTCCTTTTTCTAAATAGCTCTTGTTCTTCTTTATTTCTTCTGTTGTCCATGGGGAAGTGGAAAAGAATCTTTCCTCCGTAAGCCATGCCTGTCATATGAGGCGACTAAAATGCCGCGAGCAATGGGCTAGTAACCCCTTCTCCTGTAAACATTTACTAAAAAAGAGAAGAAGAAAAACTTTATAAAACTGGGATGCTTGAATGTGCGTGGATGTAGTGCGGATGATAAGAAACAGATGATTGCTGATGTTATGAATGCAAAGAAGTTGGATGTCCTGGCCCTAAGTGAAACAAAGCTGAAGGGGGTAGGGGAGTTTTGGTGGGGAGAAATAAATGGGATTAGATCTGGAGTATTTGAGAGAGTTAGAGCTAAGGAAGGGGTAGCAATAATGTTGAAGGATCAGTTATGGAAGGAGAAAAGAGAATGTGAATATGTAAATTCAAGGATTATGTGGATTAAAGTAAAGGCTGGATGCGAAAAGTGGGTCATAATAAGCGTGTATGCACCTGGAGAAGAGAGGAATGTAGAGGAGAGAGAGAGATTTTTGGAGATGTTAAGTGAATGTATAGGAACCTTTGAACCAAGTGAGAGAGTAATTGTGGTAGGGGATCTGAATGCTAAAGTAGGAGAAACTTTTAGAGAGGGTGTGGTAGGTAAGTTTGGGGTGCCAGGTGTAAATGATAATGGGAGCCCTTTGATTGAACTTTGTATAGAAAGGGGTTTAGTGATAGGTAATACATATTTTAACAAAAAGAGGATAAATAAGTATACAAGATATGATGTAGGGCAAAATGACAGTAGTTTGTTGGATTATGTATTGGTAGATAAACGACTGTTGAGTAGACTTCAGGATGTACATGTTTATAGAGGTGCCACAGATATATCAGATCACTTTTTAGTTGTAGCTACACTGAGAGTAAAAGGTAGATGGGATACAAGGAGAATTGAAGCATCAGGTAAGAGAAAGGTGAAGGTTTATAAACTAAAAGAGGAGGCAGTTAGGGTAAGATATAAACAGCTATTGGAGGATAGATGGGCTAATGAGAGCATAGGCAATGGGGTCGAAGAGGTATGGAGTAGGTTTAAAAGTGAAGTGTTAGAGTGTTCAGCAGAAGTTTGTGGTTACAGGAAAGTGGGTGCGGGAGGGAAGAGGAGCAATTGGTGGAATGATGATGTAAAGAGAGTAGTAAGGGAGAAAAAGTTAGCATACACCTGACATGTAGAGAGAGTGGAGCGAAACAGAATGACTTCAAGAGTGTATCAGTCTGTAGTGGAAGGAAGGCGGGGTAGGGGTCGGCCTAAGAAAGGTTGGAGGGAGGGGGTAAAGGAGGTTTTGTGTGCGAGGGGCTTGGACTTCCAGCGGGCATGCATGAGCGTGTTTGATAGGAGTGAATGGAGACAAATGTTTTTTAATACTTGACGTGCTGTTGGAGTGTGAGCAAAGTAACATTTATGAAGGGATTCAGGAAAACCGGCAGGCCGGACTTGAGTCCTGGAGATGGGAAGTACAGTGCCTGCACTCTGAAGGAGAGGTGTTAATGTTGCAGTTTAAAAACTGTAGTGTAAAGCACCCTTCTGGCAAGAGAGTGATGGAGTGAATGATGGTGAAAGTTTTTTTTTTTGGGCCACCCTGCCTTGGCGGGAATCGGCCAATGTGTTAATAAAAATAAAAAAAAGTGGATTTTGCAATACACATATAGTTTTATGTGCAAATAGTTAATTTTTTTAAGGTTTGTGGCATTCACTATTTATATTAGCTGAGTGTTTGATTGTTATTTCAGAATGTAAATTCTGTGCAATGAAAGCAATTATAATCTGAGATTAAGTAAACAAGGTAAGCAATATAGCTCACCCACACCAAACCTGACCTAAACTACCATTTAACTCACAATACAGGCTAGGTTATATTACATTATGTTAAATTATATTAGATCGAGTTTTTTTTTTTGGGGGGGGTTTGAGCAAGAAAGTTTTCTTTTTATATGCAAAATATTTATGTGTTCGTTGAACAACCCACTTTATGTTATAGAGTTTACATAATGATTTGCATATTATGAGCAGGTAAAGTGAATATTAACCATATTTTTATGTTGCCCATATTACTAACAGAATTTTGAGCAAGTTTTACCATTAACAGTTTTATTCAAAGTATATTTAATATTTTAGAAAAAATGTAGTAATTGAGATATACTGTGGGAATCAAAGGAGATGTTTCACCACCAAGTGGCTTAATTGATAAAGTCACCATTGGCAACACGTCTCCTTTAATAAATGATTGTTTGAACACATCGCCTCCAGGCTGAGGGACTGATTACCTCAAACTCTTCTTTATCTTCCACTTTTTTCTGCATTAGACTGAAGAAGCCACTGGCTGGCAAAACGTTTCCAGAGTAAAGATACCCGTATGTTGCTCACGTGTCTCATTTATCAATAAATGATTCTGCGTGTGTGTGTGTGCGCGCGTTATTCCCACAATCTGTTGGTATTTACATACTTGTACATGTGTAATAAATGATACACAGTATGAGGATTAGTATCAGCCAATTATAAAACAACATAACCAGAGATAGAGAGATCAGCAGTGTAAAAATATTTGTTTAATTTTGGACAAATACTTAGGTATAAAAGAATTAAATGTAAGAGAATTAAGTATAAGAGAACTGGATAGAAGAGAATTATATATAAGATGATTAGATAGAGAAGTCTTAACTAGTCATGTGTGGAACCACACACATGCACACATCTGTAACTCAAGATGATCTTATCATTGCATAAGAACATACGAATGGAGGAACGGTGCAGCAGGCCTACTAGCCCACACAAGGCAGGTCCTTATAAAAAAAAACACCCATGTATTTAAGAACTTAAGTACACATTACCCAAGAATTTACTCCCGTACCCCAAACACCAATCACACCCAGCCCCTCCCACTCATATAGTTGTCCATTCTCTTCTTAAACCTACCCAGGGTCCTAGTCTCTATTACCCTACTCGGAAGACTGTTCCACGCATCCACAACTCTGAAAACCAGTACTTACTTATGTCCTTTCTAAATCTAAATTTATCAAACTTAAATCCGTTATTTCTGGTTCTTACCTGATTCGGTATCCTCATTATTTTATTAATATCCCCCTTGTTTATGCCCAACATCCACTTACACACTTCGATGATGTCTCCTCTCATTCTACGTCTCTCAAGTCTGTCCTCATATAGGAGATTTCCTTCTGTGTGTTCTCCAATGAATTTATATCCATTACATAGTAAGGAGACCAAAACTGAGCAGCATAATCTAAGTGAAGCCTTACTAATGATGTATAGAGCTGCAGAATAATTTTTGGACTCCTGTTACTTATACTTCTTGATATAAATCCACGTAATCTGTAAGCCTTATTGCACACACTTAGGCACTGTTGTCTTGGCTTCAGATTTCTCCTTACCATAACTCCAAAGTCTTTTTCACATTCTGTGTGATCAAGCTATACATCACCATCACCTAGTTTATAACTTCGAGGGTTATTTTCATTCCCAAGGACTAGGACTTGACACTTGTCCACATTGAACATTATCTACCACATTTCAGACCAAGACATTAATTTGTCCAAAACCTCCTGGAGTTCATTGGTATCCTCTTCAGAATCAATCAGTCGGCCTATTTTTGTATCATCAGCAAATTTGCTCATGTCGCTTGTAATTCCTTCATCAAGGTCATTAATGTAAATTATGAACAAGTGGGCCACTGGTGACAGGTCCCCATTCATGTTTGACCCCTTTAATGGAAACTGCTCTTTTACTTTAACACATACTGTACAATTCTCAAACAGTACAGAATCTTACTGTGCTTAACTCGGGGTACTTTTCCCTACAGTAAATTACCCAATACTAAATTTTATTTTTGGCTTTCTGCTAATCCATGGGCCACTAAAAATAAACGACGGGTAAATAGAGATAAGTGATGATACTGAATGCCATACTAATTTTCAACCCTCAGACATCATGTTGCCATGTGTGGTGATGGCTGCAATGACTGTGGGGCACTAAAGGTGGCCAATGCAGGAATCTCCTTGTCATCAGCTGAAGCATCTGTGGCGGCACCCTTCACCTCGAAGAAGGAGAACATTGCATGTGTCCTCACAGTTATACGTGAAGGCCGAGCAACACTCGTCTCCATTTTTTCTGCATTCAAATACAATGTTGTGTCCTATTTTGGTGCCCTAATCTGTGTCCTCTTTCACTTCTCGGTAAGTCTTTTTCTCAGACAGCCGCTTATGAGCTCAGAGTGCAATCCAGGTGAGAAAAAAGGTCAATATGTAGATTCAGTCACAGATTAGATCAGTGTGTGAGCAAGGGCAGGGCTAGTTGACCTTTGTATTGTCTCAGGACTAATAAGAACATAGTACAGATTCAAAATAACAAATGTCAGCATTTCAGCCCAGGAAAAAAATGTCAGGAATAGAGCTCGCATAACCAGGGAGTCTTAGCATGAAAGAGATACTACAGTCAAAAGGAAATCCTATATATGTATATTTGACGAATAAAGTGCCTTCCATATATGGCTGAAATACTGACTAGAGTGGAATATCTTTTTGATTTAGGAAATAGGAGTCATTTTACCATTGACTGATGAGGGAAGATCAAATCAGGGATTGAGAGGCCCCTCCCCTCATACTGTAGTAATAAATCTTTTCAAAAATATGAACACGTAGTTATAGCATTGTGAAACTACCTAGATGTTTTTTACAAAAGTTATTCCAGTGCCAATAGAAATATGTTATTCTAGCAAGGATTCTCCATTAAAGCTTGTAAAGAGTTTTTCTTGAGAGATATCAAGATAAATAACATTCATGCAGTGTGTTTGCTGGAAGTTACAACTTCCTCCATAGCTTGCGATAATCAGAAACATTATTAGTTTATTGGCAGTTTGGAGAGATATATTGTGTATTTTTATACATATACAGGTCTCCCTCAACATTCACGTTTTCAACTTTCACGGGCTTCACACATTCGCGAATTCCCAACCGCCAAATTCCCAGCCACCAAATTCCCAGCCACCAAATTCCCAGCCGCCAAATCATATTTAAGTTTCCCGCCACCTGCGAGTCCCTACTACCCTCCCTCCGACCCCCGCAACTGGCAGCCAGTCCTCCCACCACTCAGTGTGGTGAGTGTTTTGTTTGTTCATTATTTGCTATTAAACTACAGTATAAATAATGTAAACCCATTCATGACTGCATATTGGAATGGCTATTCAGACAGGTATTAGACAGTGACATCATGTGTTTACTCTTGAACACTGCAAAGAATTAAACATTTCTGCTACAGCTAATAATAACAATAGTAATAATAATAATAATAATAATAATAATAAATATGATATAACTGAAGAAGGAAATTGTACAAAAATACGAGGGAGTGGTTGACACATTGTCAGTGTGGCTTTGTTTATGCTGGAGTGAACATTAGTCTCCCGGCTCTTCCAAACATTTCACAATAATTCATTGTGTTTGATGCTTGTAGATTGAGTGTGACTGGAGTGGTAGAGACAGTGAATGAGGCAATGGTATTTAATAACATACATGTTATTAATAATATGTACTATTATTATTTATAACATATACGTGTTATTAAATACATACATGTTAATAATAATACATGTTATTAATAATAACATGTACTATTATTATTTATAACATATATGTTATTAAATACCACTGCCTCAACCGCTGAATTATTGTGAAATGTTTGGAAGAGCAGGGAGACTAATGTTCACTCCAGCATAAACAAAGTCACACTGACGATGTGTCAACCAGTCCCTCGTATTTTTGTACAATTTCCTTCTTCAATTATATCGTATTTATTATTATTATTATTATTAATATTATTATTATTATTATTATTATTATTATTATTATTACTATTGTTATTATTAGCAATAGCAGAAATGTTTGATTCTTTGCTGTGTTCAAGAGTAAACACATGATGTCACCATCTAATACCTTTCCTAATAGCCATTCCAATATGCAGTCATGAATGGGTTTACATTATTTATTCTGTAGTTTAATAGCAAATAATGAACAAACAAAACACTCGCCACACTGAGTGGTGGAAGGGCTGGCTGCCATTTGCGGGGGTCGGAGGGAGGGTAGTAGGGACTCGCAGTGGTGGAGGCAGTGGTGGAGTCTGTGGTATTTAATAACATACATGTTATTAACATACATGTTATTAAATAACATACGTTATTAAAGCATAACATGTATATATTTAGTACAATTTACGACATTTTCATGTATTTTATGATTATTCATGGTTTAACAAGTTAAGGAAGCAGTATTGTAATATATTTCCCTACAATACATTGGGGCACCAAACATTCATGTTTTTTCAACATTCGCGAGGCTCTTGATCCCCTAACCCTCGCGAATGTTGAGGGAGACCTGTATATTTCTAAACTGTTGTATTCTGGGCACCTCTGCAAAAACAGTGATTAGGTGTGAGTGAGGTGAAAATGTTGAATGATGATGAAAGTATTTTCTTTTTGGGGATTTTCTTTCTCTTTGGGTCACCCTTCCTCGGTGGGAGACGGCCGACTTGTTGAAAAAAAAAAAAAAAAAGTTCTTTATATCTTCTTCTTTCAACGTACCAGCCGTATCCCACTGAGGTGGGGTGGCCCAAAAGGAAAAACGAAAGTTTCACCTTTAAAATTTAGTAATATACACAGGAGAAGGGGTTACTAGCCCCTTGCTCCTGGCATTTTAGTTGCCTCTTACGACACGCATGGCTTACGGAGGAAGAATTCTTTTCCACTTCCCCATGGAGATAACAGGAAATAGACAAGAACAAGAACTAGAAATAAAATAGAAGAAAACCCAGAGGGGTATGTATATATACACCTACCATCCGACTTACGACCTGCTCGACTTACGACCACTCGACTTACGACCGTGTTTTTTATGCCAAATTTCTGGGAAATAAACAACTATTTGTGTTTGTACACACTGTTTATCCTAAACCTTACAGTATAAAATACAGTACTAACAACATAAAAAGTAAAGTAAAACATGAAATACCAAAATAAAACAATAAAATAAAGTCATTACAAAAATGTTTTGTTGATATTCAGTAGTAAAGTTCGACTTACGACCATTTCGACTTACGACCGGTTTCTCGGTCATAAGTCGGATGGTAGGTGTATATGCTTGTACATGTATGTGTAGTGTGACCTAAGTGTAAGTAGAAGTAGCAAGATGTACCTGAAATCTTGCATGTTTATGAAACAGAAAAAAGGACACCAGCAATCCTACCATCATGTAAAACAATTACAGGCTTTCATTTTACACTCACTTGGCAGGACGGTAGTACCTCCCTGGGCGGTTGCTGTCTACCAACCTACTACCTATAAGGTCTTTATATATTCTTTATAAATCAAATATAGCTTTTGACTTTTAACTTTTATGGCAAATATACTCTGAAAAACAGCAGTTTATATCTGGAAATAAATTTTATCATCATCAGTGCATTGATTATAACTGCAGTAACAAAAAAGTTGCTCAGATTTTATTGTCTGCATTATGACCCTTCGAAGAGGAAGGGAAAAGTTATCATGTAGTTATCATGCTTCCTCTTAACTCTTGTTAACATAAATATGTGTTTTTGTTCTTTCCTTTATTTCTTTTTCTTCCTCCAGTTATCATTTATAACTTAAGAAACCCTCATCCAGTCGGCGTAAAATTTTCATTGCTAGTGTATTGTAAGTAGGAAAATAATCGTGCAACTGCTGACATGTACAAGTGCCTGCTAGTTAATATTATATAGACTAGTCCCATACTTGGTTTGTATGAGATGACTAGAGAAAGCCTTTTCTGATCTGTTTCGACTTTTAGCACTGCTGTAGCCTACCTAGAAGATGGTCAGGATTGTTGCTTTGGGATTGCATAGATACAAATTTGTCAATTTTATTTTTAAAATGTATTTTTTCCGTGAAATAACTTCAGCATACCTTGTCTGACAAAGGAATATGGAGCCTACAGGTCTTGCAGGTCATCATGCATAACAAGGGACTATGAAGTCTACAGGTCTTGCAGGTCATCATACACAACAAGGGAATATAGAATCTACATGTCTTGCAGGTCATCATGCACAATAAGGGAATATGGAGTCTACAGGTCTTGCAGGTCATCATACACAATAAGGGAATGTGGAGTTTACAGGTCTTGCAGGTCATCATACACAATAAGGGAATATGGAGTCTACAGGTCTTGCAGGTCATCATACATAACAAGGGAATATGGAGTATGCAGGTCTTGTAGGTCATCATACACAACAAGGGAATATATATGTAGGTCTTCCAGGTCGTCATACACAACAAGCACCTAAAAGCAGCTATTGGTTAGACTGTAGACATGACTACTCTTGCACAGATGTGGCTACCCTGGCATGGCCCTTCAAAGTGTTTATCTTGATGGACAACACGCTCTTGATCCAAAGACTTGAACTATTCTCTCCTTTCTTAAATCACATTTGACTGCCTTCCATTTCCTAGGTGCCAGAAAATCATTGCAGGCTTAGTGCTTCTCAGTGAATATAATAATAATAATAATAATAATAATAATAATAATAATAATACCCTGCCCTGTTAAGTCCAAGTCATTGTGACTGAAGGTATTAATGTAGACTATATTCCCTCTGTCCCTTCATGCAAGGTGTCTACCCCCACTCATCTAACAACCAAAAATTCATTCATTTGTACCACCCAGCCTTGACATACAGTCATGGTGCTTACATTATTACTGCCCACAACCTGCAGAGCCACATCCAATCTTGTAGATTTTGTTTGTGTGGTGTATATACTATATTTAATTGGTAATTTTTTGTTCGTATATTTTTTAGAGCTGTGTATATTGTCCCCCGGGAAATATCTGCTTCTGTAAATAGTATTGTATAGTGGGAAATTATAGAAAAAAATTAATTACCTATATTTTGTAGTTACAGGATATTTATTAAAGGAAATCTTTTGCCATGAGTGACTTCATGGTGTTGTCACTCGTGACGAAACGTTTTCTTCACTGAATGTCCTGAGCTGTAGACAAGTGTTTTCTCCAGTGTATCAGCACCATCATGTACAACCTGTGCTCGTGGTGTTCCATCTTCCATACTTTGTTCATCATATACACCTACCATCCGACTTACGACCTGCTCGACATACGACCACTCGACTTACGACTGTGTTTTGTATGCCAAATTTCTGGGAATTAAACAACTGTTTGTGCTGTACACAGTGTTTATCCTCAACCTTACTGTATAAAATACAGTACTAACAGCATAAAAAGTAAAGTAAAAAATGAAATACCAAAATAAAACAATAAAATAAAGTCATTACAAAAATGTGATGTTGATATTCAGTAGTAAGGTTCAACTTATGTCCATTTTGACTTACGACTGGTTGGTTGGAACCAAGCTCAGTCGTAAGTCGGATGGTACCTGTATATATTTTTAAGTTTCTGGTGGTTGCAATTTTAATTCATTCCATTGATCTGCCGCTCTGTGAAGAAAAAAAAAACCTTAAAATTCATTACCAAAATTCTCTAGATGTGTGATCTATCTAGGACAAATTTCATTCATGAACTGGGGACTACTATTATTGGTTGAACCTTGATTTTATGTATAAACATCAAGCATGAGGACTTTCATTGGCTAGTGTGATAATAATGTTTCTCCTTGTTGCACCATAGATCAACATGGAGCCATCAGATGTGCAGTACTTGATTCAAGACCTTCTGTTGATCACCATACCAGCCTTGGTGATGGGCAACACAGGCGCACCACCATACCTCACACCAACTCCACCTACCCAACGTGTTCTCAGCTTCCTACCTTCAGCCTCCATGTTTTCCTTCTTGGGTCTTCAGGCACTTGTATACTGGGCCATGCTGGCATATGTGCGTGCCCAGCCATGGTTAGTAAATGTCAGCATGAACACCCCTTTCTATAACTAGATAATGTAATGCTATTTAGGTATATTCTTTGTTATTTGATTCATTATGTCTTCACATTTCTGCCAAGACAGCCATTAAACGAATCATGGTGATTTTTGTTTTTTTGGGCGGGGAGGGGAAGTTCATCCTACCATGGTAGGAGACAGTCAGTGTTTAATTTTGTGGCCTGGTGACTAAAGCTTTCGCTTCACACAGCTAGGGTCCAGGTTCTACTCCCGGCAAGGGTAGAAACATTGGGTGTGTTTCTTTACACCTGTTGTCTATGTTCATCCATCAGTAAAATGGGCACCTGGGTGTTAGTCGACTGGTGCGGGTTGCATCCTGGGACAAAACTGACCTAATATGCCCAAAATGCTCTGCATAACAAGTGGCTTCCTGTATAGTAGTATGTCAATGATGTCAGCTAGGCCTGTATACCTTGTACATGTATGTGTAGAAACGAAGATAATATTATCATTATTACAATCATAGAGAAGGTATAAACCCATACAGGTAATACATTACATGCTTTACTGGTGTGGGAAGTACACATGTTCAATCCAAGGAAGGGGAAGATGTTTAATTTCTTGGCAACAAGGTATGTTCTTTAAGGACTATTGATATATAATATCAACGTGTTGCCAGTGATTTAAGGTATTAATTATAAGCAGTCATGGCACAAGATATAAAAAACACTTAGACATACTCTACTATATTTGATGCAGCTCTGATACATCAGCAAGTGTTGAATATGTAACTGTTAACTGTCCTCTGAAGACTTATTTTTTTTTAGTATTAATGAAAACATTTTAATTTGTAAAGTGATTCCTTATAAGCATAATATAAGGAATCACTGGGAATCTACATCTGAAGTATACCTATATTCTTCTGTAGTCATAAATTTCATTATACAATAAACGTAAACAGTACAGTAAAGATGACGCAGCAGGAGAATCAAGAGTTAGCAGAGAAGCAGAGGATGTAGCAAGAATCTTGTGTGTGAGGGGAAAGTGAAACACACCATACTAAGAGAAAACGAAAATACACGAGAATGACGGCATGTCTTGAGAAGGAACAATAACAGCAGTAAGCAAGTGGATGAAACTGAAACGAGAGACGTCATCTTCAGTGTTTTCTCACAAATCGACAACTGGGAGTTGAGAGACAGTAGTAGATGGCTCTTTTTGAAAGCAGTTACAGTGGTCCCTCAATAATCGTCCGTAATCCGTTCCTGGAAGTGGGACTATTATCGAAATGGACGATTTATGAATCAGTTTTCCCCATAAGAAATAATGTAAATTCAATTAATCCGTTCCTGACACTCAGAAGTATTATAACAAAAAATTTTTTTACATGAAATATAGATGTAGTACATAAACAATACAGTGGCACATGATGAATTAAACATTAACAGAATAACACTTACCTTTATTGGCGATTCTTCTTTGTGTATGGAAGACTGGAGAAGGAGACTGATTGGATGAATTACTGTTTGGAAGGGGAATCCCCTTCCATCAACACCTTGGGTACCAATTGCTTTTCTGGGGTTACTTCTCTTCTCTGTTTCTTAATGCCACTAGGACCACCTTGAGAGTCACTGGAGTCCTGTCTCGCAAAAAAAACTGTCCAGAGAGCTCTGTTTCTGGCGTCTCTTTAAAACTTCCCTAAAATGGGCCAAGATTCTGTCACTGTACAAGTTGCCGATATGGCTTGCAACATCCTTCTCTGGGTGATGTTTCTCCATAAATCTTTCCATCCTACCCCATTCAAAAATCTCCTTAATTTCTGAAGAAGGCACTTTCTTCCATCTCTCTTCCTCCTCCTCTGCAGCAAGATTCAGAGCTGCCATCTGTTGCTGTTCCTGCTGAAGCTCTTGCAGCTCCTCAGTGGTTAGCTCTTTGTTGTGGTCCTCCACCAACTCTTCCACATCCTCCAAACTCACATCCAACCCCATGGAAGCCCCCAGTGCCACAATGGATTTAACAACTGACATAGGCTCATCAGGGTCAGACACAATCTGGCCACAATTTTCTCCAAGCAGAGTTCAAAGTCCTGGTAGTCACTCCCTCCCAAGCCTTACCTATAAGGCTTACACAATGGAGAATACTGAAATGTTCTTTCCAAAAATCTCGTAGTGTCAAGTGAGTGTCTTGAGGTCACATTCAAGCACCTTTCAAACATTGCTTTGGTGTAGAGTTTTTTAAAGTTTGCAATGACCTGCTGGTCCATGGGTTGGAGGAGAGGAGTGGTATTCGGGGCAAGAACTTTACTGTGATGAACCCAAACTCCTTCAGAATTAGGTCATCTAAGTTTGGAGGATGAGCAGGTGCATTGTCCATTACTAGGAGGCACTTGAGATCCAATTTCTTTTCCAGGAGGTAATTCTTCACACTAGGGCCAAACCCTTCATTGAACCACTCTACAAAAATTTCCCTCGTGACCCATGCCTTACTATTAGATTTCCAAAACACACACAATTTACTCTTCATAACATTGTTTTTCTTGGACACTCTGGGATTTTCAGAATGGTACACTAGTAACGGCTTCACTTTGAAATCCCCACTAGCATTAGCACAGAACATTAGCGTCAGCCTGTCTTTCATAGGCTTGTGTCCTGGCATTGCCTTTTCCTCTTGTGTAATGAAGGTCCTCTTTGGCATTTTCTTCCAAAAGAGGCCTGTTTCGTCACAATTGAACACTTCTTCAGGTTTCAGTCCTTCACTGTTTATGTACTCCTGGAATTCATGCACATATTTTTCAGCCGCCTTGTGGTCCGAACTGGCAGCCTCACTATGCCTTACCACACTGTGTATGCCAGTACGCTTCTTAAATCTCTCACACCAGCCTTTGCTAGCCTTAAATTCACTCACATCATCACTAGTTGCAGGCAATTTCTTTACCAAATCGTCATGCAACTGCCTAGCCTTTTCACAAATAAGTGACGTCATAAGACTGTCTCCTGCTAATTGTTTCTCATTTATCCACACCAATAATAACTTCTCAACATCTTCGAGTACTGGTGATCTCATTTTTGTCAGCATATTTACCCCCTTTGCAACAACAGCGTCCTTGATTTCCTTTTTCTTGGCTATGATGGAAGATATGGTTGTACGGGATTTGTTATACATCCTGGCCAGTTCACCCACACGTATGCCACTATCATATTGTTCAATGATGTTTTTCTTAAATTCAATCATATTTCTCACCTTCTTTACCAAAGGCTTGGCACTAGGAGCTTTCTTTGGAGCCATGGTAGCTTATTTAGCACTTAAACAACTTGAAAGCACTAAAATAAATGAAATATTATGAAATATTTCACTGGAGCACATGAGGGGACCGCCGCTCACTGGTAAACAATGGCACACTGGCTGGGAAGGAAAGGCCGAGGCGGCTCGAGGCCGCTCAGACCGTGCGTACGCGTCCGGAACGAAGGACTATTAGCGAGTTACCGGACCATTTCCGAGCCAATATTTTGACGAAAAACAGGACTATTTCCGAAATGGACGACTTTCAGGCCGGACGATTATTGAGGGACCACTGTATATAGTTAGTTTTCTCTATATTTAAGAATCAGTCACAGCACATGCAAGGCACACAGTTAACCCTTTGAGGGTCTGTCCCATAGTTCTATGGCTTTGAAGCCTGAGTCCAAGCCGTAGTACTACGGCTTGAGCTCAGCTCACTCAGATAAGCTGTAAGCGGTACATTTGGGCCTAGGTATGAGAGAATTCATCTATGTGGTAAGTGTGCACCACATAAAACAAATATTGCAGCACGCAGTGCATAATGAGAAAAAAACTGACTGTATTTTCAATTAAAACAGCAACTTTGCAGTGTTTTTTCGTGTTTTTTTACAGTTGTATTTACGATATCTTGGTCTCAATTGATAGAATGGAAGATATATTATAGAAAAAGAGATGATTGTGATTGGTTTTAGTACTGAAAATGGCTTGAAACTGAGCTTAAAGTAGCGGACATGTTCAATTTTTGCCGATGTTCAAGAATAAACAAATGACATCACGCGTCTAATACACAGCGGCTGGTGGGTCTAATATACATGTATGTTCACGAATGTGCTGATATTATTTACACAATTATTACAATATTACATAACAGTAAATCTATATTTTGGTGTAATAAAAATTCATAATGTGAATAAAAAATCAAAATGGAATTCATTTGTAAAGCCTGAAAACATAACTAATAAACAGAGGAAATGTTATTTTAGTGCCAGAAATGCCTGCATTGTTTATTCTGGACCCTATTTTGAAACTGGAATATTTTGAACTTTGTGTTAAATTGACCAAATTACCAGTTTCCAATCATTTTATTGGGTAGTTGAAACAGTTGATTGGGCGATTTCTTATGCTTAATCGATAAAATAGAAGTAATACTAGTGAAATAGCTAAGAATTTGGTCAACCAGAATAATGTAATTGGCCTAAAATTGGAGTCAAAATCAACAAAATCGTCGATGCATAAATATTGCTGACGCAGCAAAACTCGCGAGAGCATAATTTCGTCAATTTTCCATCAAATTCCGTACTTTTTGTTTTATTACCTTCAGGAAAAGATTCTGTACCATTTCATAAGAAAAATAACAAAAATTTTTTATGAAAATTCTTGGACCGTGGCTGTCACTCTTGAGATTTGGCCTCTGGACCCTCAAAGGGTTAAGGAAGATTGTTCTAGTCTAGGACATATCCCTCCCCCGAGATAATCCCCTCCCCTAAGATAAAACCCCATAGCAAACAAAACTAAGGCTTAACCTAACCCAAGGTACGTTAAGCCTTAACCTAACCCAAGGTACGTTAAACCTTAACCTAACCTAATTAAACCAAACCTAACATCATCGAAATCAGGTTTTTTTTTTTGTCTTACTTCAGATTTTTTCTGTAGGAGTTTTGTCTATGGGGGTTTTGTCCTGGGCATTTGTTCTAGAGAAGGCTTTGTTTGTATCAAGGAAGACACAGGTGCAAATT